GGGGGCCTTTTAGGGGTTCAGATGGGACTTTGGAGGGTAGTTTGGAAAAGACTGATGGATCCATTTGCTGGGGGCGATGTTGCAGGGGTGGTTTTCACTAACGGATGAGTTGTGGGACAACTTTTTTTGTTGTACACACAAGGGGTCTTGCTGTGTTGCCCAGGCTGGTCTCAAAATTCCTGGGCTCAAATGATCCTCCCACCTCAGCCTCCCAAGCAGCTACAGGCATGAGCCACCACGCCCTGCTGACTTTTTTTATTTTTTGTAGAGACGGGGTCCTACTGTGTTGTCCAAGTTGGTCTCAAACTCCTGGGCTCAAGCGATCCTCCCACCTTGGCCTCCCCAAGTGCTGGGATGACAGGCGTGAGCCCCCGCGCCTGGTCCAGGGAACAACCTTTTGTCCCTGCCAGGGGGCTGCTCAGGGGATGATGCTGGTGGTGGGCTTTTGTTGGACAACTAGGGTGATGGGCCTGGGGGCAGATGCTGGGGGTCACAGGCTTGGGGAACACTGTCTGAGGACCCCCTCGCCCAGGACCACCTCCCCCTGCAGCTGCGGCTCAGCCCCACTGACCTTGGCTCCTGCCCGCCCTGCGGCCCCTGCCCCATCCCGAAGCCGGCAGCCAGAGGCAGGCGCCAGGCAAGTGCCCAGGGGCAGGCAGTGAGAGCTCGGAGGCCCTGTCAGGGGGCGCGGGGAGGGGGCAGGGGCCAACCCTGCCCCACGCACCTGTGGGTGTGCCCTGCAGAGTCAAGACTGGGGCAAGAGTGACGAGAGGCTGCTACAAGCTGTGGAAAACAACGATGCACCTCGGGTGGCCACCCTCATCGCCCGCAAGGGACTGGTGCCCACGAAGCTAGACCCCGAGGGCAAGTCCGCGTGAGTGCCCGTGACCCGGGAGAGAGATGGCTGAGGGGTGCAACCTGCTGGCTGAGCCCTTGTCTCTCACTTCCAGGTTCCACCTGGCAGCCATGCGGGGTGCGGCCAGCTGTCTGGAGGTGATGATAGCTCATGGTGCCAATGTCATGAGCACGGATGGGGCAGGTACTGCCAGCTGGGCCCCGGGGAGGGAGGAGGAGCTCAGCCCAGGTGCCCAGTCTGAGCATCCAGCCAGGCCCTGATTCCAGGCCTCAATGTTCCCCGCTGAAAAAGGGGGAGGCTCCCTCTGGTGCCCCTCCCCTGCCCCCAGGGAGACACACAGGGGCATGTTAGGATGGGGTGGCCAAAGACAGAGACTGTGGCTGGCACTGAGCAAAGCGAGTGGACAGCTTGTGGATGGGGACTGACTAGGATTCAGGTATTGGTTCAGTTGGATGGGGAAATAGCTGGCACAGGGAAGTAGCTGGGGCTTGGAGGATAGCTGCAAAGTTTCTGGGGTTTTGTTGTTTTGTTTTTCTTTTTTTAGGGGAGGGACACAGTCTCCCTTTGTCACCCAGGCTTGAGTGCAATGGGCATGATCTCAGCTCACTGCAGTCTCCACCTCCCGGGCCCAAGAGATTCTCCAACCTCAGCCTCCCAAGTAGCTAGGACTACAGGCGCACACCACCACGCCCAATTAATTTTTCTATTCTTAGTAGAGAGATGGTCTCCCTGTGTTGCCCAGGCCAGTCTTGAACTCCTGGGCTCTAAGTGATCCTTCCACCTCAGCCTCCCAATGTGTTGAGATTATAGGTGTGAGCCACCATGCCCAGCCTGGGGAAGTTTCTAGAAAGTGACTGAGGCAGAGGAAGAACCTGGGGCTTGGGAGATAACTGGGACTATTGGACGAACTAAGCTTTGAGGTTTATCTGGGATGTGGGAGTATCCGAGATCAAGGAAGTGACTGAAGGGAACTACTTGGAGTTTGGAGGAGGAACTGGATTCATGAGAGTAGCTGAGCTTGCAAAGTATCTGGGGCAGGAGAATAACAAGTAGAGTTTGGGGAATATCTGAGGTATGTGGGATAGCTGGGATCTAGAAGTAGCTGGAGTTGTGGGAGCAGGTGGAGCTGTGGGAGTAGCTTGAGCTCTTGGAGTAGCTGGGGTACAAGGAGAACTTGTATGTATGTATGACTTACCTGGGGACCTGGGGGAAATAACTGAGATAAAAATGTGTGGCCAAAATGACTAGTTGGGGCTCAGGAGGTAACTAGCATGGGGACACAGTTAAATCTGAAGCTTTAGGGCCACAGGCATGATGGGCAGGGTATATGGAGTAGCTGGGGATTCGTGGAGCATCAAACAGGGACAGAGTTGGCATGTGGAAGAGCAAGGGTATGTGGATTGGAAGAACATGTACGGCAACTGTGGGTTGTGAAGGGCAGAGCTGAAACTTTGGTGTAGTTGACCCTGTAGAGTATCTGGGGATATGGGGAGTAGCTGAGGCAATAGGGCTTGAGGAATAGCGGGGTGTGGAGAGTCACTAAGGTGGGATTGTCTGGAATACAGACTAGCCACGGCTTGGAGAGTCTCTGGGTACAGGTAATAGCATGGTTTTGAGAAGTACCTGACGGTGGGGCACAATGGCTCATGCCTGTTAATCCCAGCACTTTGGGAGGCTAAGATGGGAGGATCGCATGAGCCAAGGAGTTCAAGACCAGCTTGGGCAACATAGCAAGACCCCCGTCTCTACAGAAAATACAAATACAGTAGCCGGACATGGTGGCACTTGCTTGTAGTCTCAGCTACTCGGGAGGTTGAGACAGGAGGATCGCTTGAGCCTAGGTGTTCAAGCCTACAGTGAGCTATGGTCACACTGCACTCTAGCCTGGGTGACAGAGCAAGATCCTGTCTGTAGGGAAAAAAGAGAGAAATACTAGGGTTCAGGGACTTTGCTAGATACAGAAATTCATCACAAGTCATTGACATGGCTTGGGGAGCAGCTGGGAGCTACTTGAATAGCTGGAGCTCCAGTAAATCTTCTTTCCTTCCCCAGGTTACAATGCCCTCCACCTGGCCGCCAAATACGGGCACCCACAGTGCTTGAAGCAACTACTGCAGGTCATTTACTTTCTTATCTCAGCTACTCCGTTGGCCCCTACTACTCCTGAGTTCCAGCAGTTCCTTGAACCCCCAGATGCTCTATGAATTCTAGATATTCCTTGGCCCCTTTTACTCCAGAACCCTAGCTACTCCCTGGATAACCAGATACTCTCAGACCATCCACATGCTTCTCTTATTTAAGATATACTCCCGAGCCGGGCATGGTGGCTCAGGCCTGTACTCCCAGCACTTTGGGAGGCTGAGGCCGGTGGATCGCCTGAGGTCAGGAGTTCGAGACCAGCCTGGCCAACATAGTGGAACCCTGTCTCTACTATAAATACAAAAAATTAGCTGGGAGTGGTGGCGTGTGCCTATAATCCCAGCTACTAGGGAGGCTGAGGCAGGAGAATCCCTTGAACTCGGGAGGCGGAGGTTACAGTGAGCCAAGATCACGCCATTGCACTCCAGCCTGGGCAACAAGAGTGAAACACCATCTAATAAAAATATATATATATATATATGTACATATACTCCCAGTGCCAGGTATTTCCTGAGTTCTGTTTCTCCCCAAGCCCTAGGTCCTTTCTTAGACCCAGACACTCGCAGAGTTCCCAGCTACTCCCCAAATTCCCAGCTGCTTCTCAGCTCCCAGCTATTTTCTTTTCTCACCAAGTTTCATGAAAATGGAGTCACGTGGGGACCAGGGAAGGGTGGGGCTGAAGTATAGCAGAGCCCAGGGTGGGGAAGACAGTCCTAGAGAAATCAGGCAGCAAGAAGGATGGCTCCGCCTCAAAGGACTCGCCCCATCCCCAGGCTTCCTGCGTGGTGGACGTCGTGGACAACAGCGGGTGGACTGCCCTACACCATGCAGGTGGGTGCAGCCCAGCCCTGCCCTGACCCCGTAGCCCAGTGGGGGTTATTCTACCCAGGACCCTAGGGATCTGACATGCTGTGAAGCTTTCTGTTTCCTCCTTTCTTTTTTTTTTTTTTTTTTTGAGACAGAGTCTCACTCTGTTGCCCAGGCTGGAGTGCAGTGGTGAGATCTCAGCTCACTGTAACCTCCACCTCCCAGGTTCAAGCAGTTTTCCTGCCTCAACCTCCCCAGTAGCTGGGACTACAGGCACCTGCCACCACGCCTGGCTAATTTTTTTGTATTTTTAGTAAAGACAGGGTTTCACCATGTTGGCCAGGATGGTCTCGAACTCCTGACCTCAGGTGATCCACCTGCCTTGGCCTCCCAAAGTGCTGGGATTACAGGCGTGAGTCACCACTCCTGGCATTCCTTTTCTTTTTATGAAATAGGGTCTTGCTCTGTTGCCCAGGCTGAAGTACAGTGGTGCAATCATGGCTCACTGCATCCTTGACCTCCTGGGTTCAAACAATCCATCTGCCTCAGCCTCCCAAGTAACTGGGATCACAGGCATGCACCACCATGCCTGGCTAATATTTTAAATTTAGTTGTAGATACAGGATCTTGCTATGTTGCCCAGACTGATCTCAAACTCCTGGGCTCAAGTGATCCTCCCACCTCGGCCACTCAAAGTGCTGGAATTACAAGCGTGAGTCACCCCACCTAGCCTCCTTTTTTTTTTTTTTTTGAGATAGAATCTCCCTCTGTCGCTCAGGCTGCAGTTCAATGGTGCAATCTCGGCTCACTGCAACCTCCACCTCCCAGGTTCAAGCAATTCTTCTGCCTTAGCCTCCTGAGTAGCTGGGATTACAGGCCTGTGCCACAACACCTGCCTAAAATTTTTTTGTATTTTTAGTAAAGGCAGGGTTTCACCATGTTGACCAGGCTGGTCTTGAACTCCTGACCTCAGGTGATCTGCCCGCCTCGGCCTGCCAAAGTGCTGGGGTTACAGGCGTGAGCCACCATGCCAGCCCTTCTCCTCCTTTTTTATTACCTACTGTATGCCAGGCACTGGAGCCCATCATAAATCCCGGTTACCCTTTGAACTGCAGGCTTTTAGCCCATTGCACAGATGAGGCTTAACTTGTCCGCAGGTAAGTCGTAGGGAATCCAGGTCATCTGACCTCAAGGAGCAGCCGATTGTACTCCTGGTCTTTGTAAGGATGAGGAGAGGTCCCTAGGGTTTAATTTCCTTTGAGGAGCTCCTAGGAGATATCAGGAAAACCATAACTTCAGGCAGCTGGCACCCTCATAATCACCAAATCCAATCTCCTTCCCAGAGGGAGGGAAAGGGGCCCACGGATGTGAACCAGAACCCACAGCCCCCGATCTGTCCGCTGTGCCCATGAAATTCAGGCGTGGCTTTCGCTGCCGACTCACGAAACATCTGTTCTTTTGGAAACTCAGAATAAAATTGGGCTTTTGGGATTTTAGTCCCTGAGTGAGAATTCCCTGCAGTTGGAGTATGCTGCCACCTAGTGGCAGCAATGCCTCTGGTCACAATACAGGAGCCCGTTGGTTTTTGTCATTCAACAGTTACCGAGCACTTTGGAAGGCCCAAGCAGGCAGATTACTGGAGGTCAGGAGTTTGAGAATAGCCTGGCCAACATGGTGAAACCCTGTCTCTACTAATAATAAAAAATTAAGGCCAGGCGCGGTGGCTCACGCCTGTAATCCCAGCACTTTGGGGGCCCAAGGCGGGCGGATCGAGACCATCCTGGCTAACCTGGTGAAACCCCGTCTCTACTAAAAATACAGAAAATTAGCCGGGCGTGGTGGTGGGCGCCTGTAGTCCCAGCTACTCGGGAGGCTGAGGCAGGAGAAGCGCTTGAACCCGGGAGGCAGAGGTTGCAGTGAGCCGAGATTGCGCCACTGTGCAGCCTGGGCAACAGAGCAAGACTCCATCTCAAAAAAAAAACAAACAACAACAGAAAACAGTTATTGAGTACCTACTGTGTGTCAGGCACTGTTCTACATGTTGTAGATAAGGTTTGCAGCAATCAGAACCTCATACTCCCTCAGACACACAGCAGGTACCCAAATAGAGTTTATTGACTGAAAAGTGGATTTTTGTACATAGGCTGTACGTCAACCTGCTGGAATTCACACCCAGGGATTCCAGAGACTGTGTTCTTGTCTCAGCTGCACAGCCTCCTGGGGAGCCTCCCTGTCTCCACTCTGGTCCTGCGCAAATGGCAGTAGGAGGGATCTCTTAAAATATAAATAGGCCAGGCACAGTGGTGCAGGCCTGTAATCCCAGCGCTATGGGAGGCAGAGGTGGGAGGATTGCTTGAGCCCAGGAGTTTGAGACCAGCCTGGACAACATGGCAAAACCCCGTCTCTACTAAAAATATAAAAATTAGCCAAGTGTGATGGCTCATGTCTATAATCCCAGCTACTCGGGAGGCTGAGGCAGGAGAATCGTTGGAACCCAGGAGGCGGAGGTTGCAGTCATCCAAGATCATACCCCTGCACTCCAGTGTGGGTGCAGAGGGAGACTCTGTCTCAAAAAATAAAAATAAAAATAAAATAAAATAAATAAATAAATGCAGAAGCGGGGCCGGGCGTGGTGGCTCCACCCTATAATCCCAGCCCTTTGGGAGCCAGAGGCAGGAGGATTGCTTGAGCCCAGGAGTTTGAGACCAGCCTGGGCAATATAGTGACATTCCATTTCCATAAAAAAAATCCAAAAGAAAATTAGCCAGGAGTGATGGTGCACGCCCACACTCCCGGCCACTCAGGAGGCCAAGGCAAGCAGATTGCTTGAGCCCAGGAGTTCAAGAAAAGCCTGGGCAACATAGCAAGACCCTGTCTCTAAAAAAACAAAATAAAGTAAAAATTAGCCAGGCATGATTGCACATGCCTGTAGTGTGGGTCTCATGCCTGTAATCCCAGCCCCTCGAGAGGCCGAGGCAGGAGGATTGCTTGAGCCCAGGAGTTGGAGACCAGCCTGGGCAACACAGTGAGACCCCGTCTCTACAGAAAGTAGAGGGAACCACAGTGCTTGGGACTAGCAGTTGGCAGACCTAGATCCTAGATCTGACTCTTCCTGTGACCCCACTGGGTGACCCCAGGCCTGGTTGGGCCTCGCTTTCTGCATCTGTAAAATGCAAAATTTGCCTTTGTTACAAATCTCCCAGGGTACATGGGAATTTCTCATGAAATAAAGGGGCAGGGTCACACCCAGGCAGAAAGTCCCCAGAAAAGGTTGAAGTCTCACCCTACCCCTACTCTTCCCCCTTTTGTTTTTCTTCCTTTCTTTTCTTGGTATTTGAGACAAGATCTCACTCTGTCACCCAGGCTGGTGTGCAGTGGCGCCATCATGGCTCACTGCAGCCTTGAAACTCCTGAGCTCAAGCAGTCCTCCTGCTTCAGCCTCCCGAGTAGCTGGTTCCACAGACACATGCCACCACACCCAGATAATTTTTGCCTTTTTTTTTTTTTTTTTTTAGAGACAGGATCTTGCTATGTTGGCCCAGGTTGGTCTCGAACTCCTTTGCTCAAGTGATCCTCCTGCCTCGGCCTCCCAAGGTGCTGGGATTACAGGGTTGAGCTACCACACCCGACAACCTTTTCTCTTTTGCAGTGGCTGGTGGCTGTCTCTCCTGTTCAGAGGTGCTGTGCTCCTTTAAGGCACATCTAAACCCCCAAGATCGGGTAAGCTTCTGGGATCTCTTTGGGGAAGATGTTATGCTTGAGGTATGCTGCCACCAAGTGGCAGTATCTCAGGCACCCTTTGAAAGCCTGAGAAAGTTCAAGGTGAAAACTCAAGGGCGGTTATATAGGCTTCTGCACCTCCTGGGGGTCAGTTTCTCATGCCATCGCATCCCTCCTCCTCCCTACCAGTCAGGCGCAACACCCCTCATTATAGCAGCTCAGATGTGTCACACAGACCTGTGCCGTCTCCTGCTGCGGCAAGGAGCTGCCGCGAATGATCAGGACCTGCAAGGCAGGTGAGCATCTCCCCTCCCAGCCAGTCCACCCTATGCTGTGTGACCTTGGGCAAGACTCTTAACCTCTCTGAGTAAAGCGATCTAGCCAGCCTCCTCTTCCCAGCCCGGCCTGGGTGCTGAGGTGGGCGTGGGGGCTTGGGGGATGTTCTCATCTCCTCAGTAGCCCCCTCCCCTGGCAGGACGGCCCTGATGCTGGCCTGTGAGGGGGCCAGCCCGGAAACAGTGGAAGTCCTGCTGCAGGGCGGAGCCCAGCCGGGCATCACCGATGCGCTGGGGCAGGACGCGGCTCACTATGGCGCGCTGGCGGGGGACAAGCTCATCCTGCACCTTCTGCAAGAGGCGGCCCAGCGCCCCTCCCCCCCCAGCGGTATGCAAGCCCCATCTCCCCGCTGCATTTGCTTCTCGGCAGCTTCTTGTCACCCCTTTTCTTTATCGTGAATAGTTTCAAGGTACCCCCGACTGTCTGCATTCTAGGAGGTCCCAGAGCTTACCCAATTCTACTCAGAACAGTCTCAAGGAGCCCCAGGGCATTTAGAGTAGTCTAGGAGGGGGTCTGCTTCTCCTTTCGTGGGTCATCTGTACAGTAAGAACTTTGTTGGCCGTTGGTGACTCACGCCTGTAATCCCAGCACTTTGGGAGGCCAAGGTGGGTGGATCATGAGGTCAGGAGATCAAGACCATCCTGGCTAACATGGTGAAACCCCATCTCTACTAAAAATACAAAAAAATGAGCCGGGCGTGGTGGCGGGCGCCTGTAGTCCCAGCTACTTGGAAGTCTGAGGCAGGAGAACAGGGTGAACCCGGGAGGCGGAGCTTGCAGTGAGCCGAGATCGTGCCACTGCGCTCCAGCCTGGGCAACAGAGCGAGACTCCGTCTTAAAAAACAAAACAAGGCCGGGCGCGGTGGCTCAAGCCTGTAATCCCAGCACTTTGGGAGGCTGAGACTGGCGGATCATGAGGTCAGGAGATCGAGACCATCCTGGCTAACACGGTGAAACCCCGTCTCTACTAAAAAATACAAAAAACTAGCCGGGCAAGGTGGAGGGCGCCTGTAGTCCCAGCTACTCGGGAGGCTGAGGCAGGAGAATGGCGTAAACCCGGGAGGCGGAGCTTGCAGTGAGCTGAGATCTGGCCACTGCACTCCAGCCTGGGCGACAGAGCGAGACTCCATCTCAAAAAAAACACAAAAACAAAAACAAAAAAACCAAAAACCAAAACAAAACAAAACTTTGTGTCTCCTAAGAAGGGCATCCCTGCTAGGCAAGGTGGCTCATGCCTGTAATCCCAGCACTTTGGGAGGCCGAGGTGGGCGAATCACTTGAGGTCAGGGGTTCGAGACCAGCTTGACCAACATGGTGAAACCCTGTCTCCACTAAAAATACAAAAATTAGCCACACGTGGTTCAAACAAATCTCCTGCCTCATCCTCCTGAGTAGCTGGGACTCCAGGTGCCTGCCGCCACGCCTGGCCAATTTTTGTTTTTTTGGTGGAGTCGGGGTTTCGCCACATTGGCCAGGCTGGTCTCGAACTCCTGAACTCAGGTGATCCATCCGCCTCGGCCTCCCAGAATGCTGGGATTATAGGCATGAGCCACCGCACCCGGCCTGTCCTCTCTTTTAAAGAGTCCCAAGTCGCTCTATCAGCACTCTACCCAAGCACCAGATTTCTACTTTAAACGCCCTGATTCTTGGGGAAATCAGGAACCCCCTACAAGTCCCTGGGGCCCACCAATGCCCTTCCTGGGGCTGGGAACAGAATGTCTGACCCTGCTTCCCTCTCTCCCTGGCCCTCACAGAGGATGACTCAGGCGAGGCGTCATCTCAGGTATGGACCCCTAAGCAGTGAAGGAGCCCCTCCTCCCTGCAACCACACTAACTTCTCCCCTGCCCCAAGCTCTGTGAGAAGAGAAGGAAGTTAGACCTGGGAAAACCTGTTTGGAAAGAATCCTACCTTCAGGGTATGCTGCCACCAAGTGGCGGCAGTGTGCCCAGCCTAACTCCCAGAACTGGGTGAGAATACTGGGGGTATGGGGCCAAATTATGGGGCTGGGGTGGGAGGGCAGTGGGGACTGAGGTTGTTGAGGGTTGTTGTCTTCAGGGAGGGAAGCAGATCTGGCCTCTTCCCCTCTTTCAGTTTTCTTTTTTTTTTTTCCCCGCGAGACGGAGTCTCGCTCTGTTGCCCAGGCTGGAGTGCAGTGGCTCGATCTTGGCTCACTGCAACCTCCACCCCCTGAGTTCAAGCGATTCTCCTGCCTCAGCCTCCCTGGTAGCTAGGATTACAGGCACCCACCACACCTGGCTAATTTTTGTATTTTTAGTAGAGACGGGGTTTGACCATGCTGGCCAGGCTGGTCTCAAACTCCTGGCCTCAAGTGATCCACCCGCCTCAGCCTCCCAAAGTGCTGGGATTATAGACGTGAGCCACCGTGCCCAGCCCCTCCCAGTTTTTTTGTTTGTTTTTTGTTTTTTGTTTTGTTTATTTTTTGAGAGATGGAGTCTCGCTCTGTCACCCAGGCTGCAGTGCAGTGGTGTGATCTCAACTCACTGCGACCTCCACCTCCCGAGTTCAAGTGCTTTTTCTGCCTCAGTTTCCTGAGTAGCTGGGTGCCACCACACCCAGCTAATTTTTTGTATTTTTTAGTAGAAACAGGGTTTCACTGTATGTTGTTCAGGCTGCTCTCGAACTCCTGACCTCCAGTGACCACCCGCCCTGGCCTCCCAAAGTGCTGGGATTACAGGTGTGAGCCACCGCGCCCAGCCCCTCTCCCAGTTTTAAAGCATCTCTGTTCCACAGAGGAGTGAAAACATGTGGGCACTGTGGCCTAGCTGGGCAAAGAACTGAGGCACAGAGAGGAGCAGAGAGTGAAGAGTAAGATCTGGAACTTACAGGGAGGTGGTCTTGTCTGCGTTTTGCTGGGATAAGCAAGGGGGAGGAGGCAGGGGCTGGTTCCGTGTTTACGGGAAGTCAGGCCATGACTGGGGCTGGCTAGGTTGGTTTACTGTCGGGGAGGCTGGCATGGCCCCCCGATCTGCCCTCTTCACCCTCTCTCCCGTCCCTTCCCAGAACTCTATGTCCAGCCATGGAAAGCAGGGGGCTCCCAAGAAGCGGAAGGCGCCTCCACCTCCCGCCAGCATCCCCATGCCGGTGAGAGATGCTCCGGGTACGGGAGGAGGCGTGGGGAGCCCCCAGGCACAGGGTGGGGCTCTGGCTGAGGCCTGGGATGGGGAAACCTTAGGCCCCATCTAAAGGCCGCGGGCGGGGAGGGGAACAGGATGATCGAGATGCCTATGAGGAGATCGTGAGGCTGCGCCAGGAGAGGGGCCGCCTCCTGCAGAAGATCCGGGGCCTGGAACAGCACAAGGAACGGAGGCAGCAGGAGGTTAGGAGGCCTCCAAGATTTGGGCGTGGGGCCAAGCCCGGGTGGGGTCAATGCAGGCATGAAGAGCCCCCTACTCTTCTCCCACCTTCCCTCCTCTGTCTCTCCCCCTCCCCACTCTGCTGCGGCCACCTGGGCCTCCTCGCTGTTCCTCCAACTCACCAGGCGCGGTCCTGCCTCAGGGCCTTTGCACGGCCTGGGTCCTCTGCCTGGAATGCTCCAGCCCCAGATGTTCCCACAGCTCTTTACCTCACCTACTTTATAGGCCCCTTGCCAAAGACACCTCCCATGCCCACTTCTTAAAATTGTTAACACCCAACCAGGCGCAGTGGCTCCGCCTGTAATCCCAGCACTTTGGGAGGCCGAGGCAGGTGGATCACCTGAGGTCGGGAGTTTGAGACCAGCCTGACCAACATGGAGAAACCCCGGTTCTACTGAAAATACAAAACTAGCCGGGCGTGGTGGCACATGCCTTAATCCCAGCTACTCAGGAGGCTGAGGCAGGAGAATCGCTTGAACCTGGGAGGCGGAGGTTGCTGTGAGCCGAGATCGTGCCATTGCACTCCAGCCTGGGCAACAAGAGTGAAACTCCATCTTAAAAAAAAAAAATTGTAACACCCGCTCCCCCCTGCCAACTCGCTAGTTCGCTTTATTTTTTATTTATTTATTTTTTGTTTTGTTTTGTTGCCACTCTTGTTACCCAGGTTGGAGTGCAATGGCACAATCTCAGCTCACTGCAACCTCTTCCTCCCAGGTTCAAACAAGTTTCCTGCTTCAGTCTCCCAAGCAACTGGGATTACAGGCGACCACCACCACGCCCAGCTAATTTTGTATTTTTGGTAGAGACGGAGTTTCACCACATTGGCCAGGCTGGTCTCGAACTCCTGACCTCAGGTGATCCACCCACCGCGGTCTCTTAAAGCGCTGGGATTGCAGGTGTGAGCCACTGTGCCTGGCCTCTTTATTTTCATTTGCAGCACTTACTGCTATTGGGCATGCATTTATTTTATGTATGTCCACCCATTTGACTATGAGCCTGTGAGGGCAGGCATGGCTGGTCGTGCCTGGGTCAGAGTATGGGCATCATCAATATTGATTGGGTGAATGAATATTCAAGTGAGTGGATGAATGAATGGCCGAAACCAGGGTCTGCCCTAGAAGAGGCACTCAGTAAAAACTTTCTGGCCGGGCGCGGTGGCTCACGCCTGTAATCCCAGTACTTTGGGAGGTTGAGGTGGGCAGATCACTTGAGGTCAGGAGTTGGAAATCAGCCTGGCCAACATGGTGAAACACTGTCTCTACTAAAAATACAAAAAAATTTAGCTATGCCGGGCACCATGGCTCACGCCTGTAATCCCAGCACTTTGGGAGGCCAAGGCAGGCGGATCACCTGAGATCAGGAGTTCAAGACCAGCCTGGTCAACATGGCAAAACCCTGTCTCTACTAAAGTACAAAAAAATCAGCCAGCTCAAGTGCTTTTTCTGCCTCAGTTTCCTGAGTAGCTGGGTGCCACCACACCCAGCTAATTTTTTGTATTTTTGGTAGAGGGGTTTCACCGTGTTAGCCAGGATGGTCTCGATCTCTGACCTCCAGTGACCACCCGCCCTGGCCTCCCAAAGTGCTGGGATTACAGGTGTGAGCCACCGCGCCCAGCCCCTCTCCCAGTTTTAAAGCATC